GAAAACAAAGTCGTAAATCGGTCAATAGGCCAGTCAGTAATTCGCAAAACTCCGGCTATCTAACTGTTCCAAAATAGAACTGCGTGGGGTAGCCGTAGACGGAAAGAGACAGAAAGACCTAAAGAAGAGAAAAACGTACGCCAAAACCAGAAAACAGAAGCGTCAGGACGAAAAAGAGAGAAAGAAAGACCAAAAAGCATGGGTGTGAAGCCAGGCATACTAATGGTGTGTTGGTGCCAGTGCTAGTGGAAGCTTTTCAGCTAGTGAAGACTTGCTAGGGCCCCTTGGCCCCTAAGGGGTGGGGGTGGGGCTGGCAGTTTGGTGGGAGGAGAAGCCCACCAAGCACTGACTAGCCACACTTTTCCGCTGGGGCCCACAAAGAAATGGCTGGGTGGTGGGGGGAAGGAGCAAAAGGGAGAGGAGGAGAGGATGGAGGGCCCTGGGGTCCTCACTCCTGTTTTCGTCTCTCTCTCTCTCTCTCTCTCTCTCTCTCTCTCTTTCTCTTTCTCCAAGCTCTCGCCCTCCTCATCCACATCCATGTTTTTTAGTGCGGCCCGCTATGTGGCCCCCCCTTTCTCTGTGCGTGTATATGTGCCCCTCCCCGGGCCATTTCGAGGAGCAGGACAAGGAGTTGGCAGGCCATTAAATGTTCTTGGTAGCTCTGCTCTCTTTTTACCTCCCTCTCTCGTCCCCTCTCCCGCTCTCTCACACCGAGCTATGACTTCCGGTATTGCCTATAATTTGCCTGCGGAGACGTGCGTAATACGAGTGAGAGTGAGTAGTCGTATAAAAAACAATGGCTATACGAAATTTACTGGAACTTAAAGAGCAAAGCGAAAATTTGGTCAATCAGGATCTAAAGGCTCTATAAGCCTACCACGATTTGCTTGGAGGGTGTAGAAACTGACGGAATTGAGAGGTCTGTTTCCATTTTCCAGGTTCCACTGAAAGCTGGGTGATCATTTCCGGCTGGTGGACGTGCATCGTATCATCCTGAATCGAGTTTACAACCAAGAATCACCTAAAAAAATCCCTAAACGATTCCCTAAAAATCGTGAAACCAAATCCGATATACAGTAATCCAACCAGCCATTTTTAACTCGGAAAATGTTCACCAACTGTGCGATGACTACCTGAAAAGATGGCAATGGATTCATAATTGCCTGGAAAAGGCGTCGTTACAGAGAAAGAAGAAGTGGAGGAGGAGGACTGCGGGTTGAGGGGATTAGTCGGATCAGATATTTGTCCCGACCCACCTGCCCATCCCGCCTGCTCCTTCTCGGGAGCCAAAAATTGGGACCCTCCCAAATTTGGGCCCAGGTTCATTTTGCGTGCTATTTGGTCTGTCGATGGATAGCAAAAAATTTTATCTTGTTTTTGACAATTTTTTAGAACATTTTGGATTGGGTATGTTCCCCGAACGACAATGGCTCTATGAGCCCCAGGTTTCGAACAATAATATTCAATTTAGGGCGTTTTTAAAAACAAAAATCAATAAACTAGACAAATTGGCTTTTTATGTTTCATAAAAGTATAAATAGATGATAAATTAACAACACTTAAGGTTCCTAATGACGGCCTCCAAGTAAAGACCCAAGATTGGGCCCTAGATAGGGCCAGGGCTGCCTGAAATCAATTTTTAATTAGTCGTTAGTCACCTTAATGACTATATTTTGTGCTGTTTCTGCCAATTTTTTCTATGTTCTATTTCGGTTTTCGAACACTCGGATTTAAAAAATATAGTAGTCTTTTTCGAACATCACCAACGCGTCATAATTCATAAAAAGCACAGTTTCAGACCACAGACGTCTAGCCATTATAAATTTAATTATTACCCAGCATTCCAAGGATTCTTACAATAAGCCGCATTCCCGGTGAATCTTAAGCATACGGTGCCAATGACAAAAACAGTTGTCTGCGCTCTTTTTCCAAAGTTCAGTCTGTTCCCCAGGGAAATCACCTCAGATTATGAAAAATATCAGGTTGGAAAGAAAAGTAATGGCACAAAATCTTTAAACCGCTATAAAAACCCGCAGGAACGTCCGATTCGCAAGTTTGTTATATGGTTTGGTAGATCTTCGGATGCTCTATCACGAGACGTCCCTCAAAACGCACAAAACCTGACGGACGCGAAGATACAGGCCTCAGAAGTTTCGCAGAAAATTAGGTGAAACCTTCCAAGCGAGATATCTCTGCATATAGGCATTTGCATACAATACTTTTGACACCAAACGATAGCGCTCGAGGAGTAGATATCGAAAGATGTTGAGATCATCAAAATCGGACACTGGATGGCCGAGATATTGGCCTTCCAAAATCAATGCATTTTCTGGATTTTGGCTCGGGAGTTGAAGCAAACGCAGCAGTTTTTGGCACGCGCAGGCCTAAATGTATGGGATTTCGAGAAAAGTTCTAAGAAGTGGACCAAATTTCTAGGGGACATATCTCGGCCATCCAGTGTCCAATTTTGATGATCTCACCATCTTTCGATATCTACTCCTCGAGGGCTATCGATTGGTGTCAAAAGTATCGTATGCAAATGCCTATATGCAGAGATATCTCGCTTGGAAGGCTTCACCTAATTTTCTGCGAAACTTCTGCGGCCTGTATCTTCGCGTCCGTCAGATTTTGTGCGTTTTGAGGGACGTCTCGTGATAGAGCATCCGAAGATCTACCAAACCATATAACAAACTTGCGAATCGGACGTTCCTGCGGGTTTTAATAGCGGTTTAAAGATTTTGTCCCATTACTTTCTTTCCAACCTGATAGCTTTACACAATTCATGGCATTCTTTTTTAGATCCTTGGAGTGTCTAGTCTAGTGTCTAGTGAATCATAATTTTTGAGACATAGAACAGATTTCTAGTCTCTCTCTCTACCTCTCTCTTTCGCTCTCTCTCGTGTTTTAACGCCCACCAACTCCTTTCAAACTAACAAGCGTGCCCAAGTACAAGCGACGTACTCGGCGCGGTAGAGTGGAGTCTGGCAGCGTAGCATTTGCTCGGATTTTCGTTTTCTTCTGGACGCAAACTTTCCGGGATTGGCATTTAAGCTGCCTGACCACGCCACCCTTTTTAAGAGGCGTTCGAACATCTCTTCGAGGGCATTCTCGGTTCTAATACTATTCAGAAATCACGGCCAGGCTACGGTATCGTCGCGGAATTTTCAAAAACGAAGGTTTTGAGCTATTTATTGACCATTTTGACGATTATTAAGCGCCTTGGTATCGCATCACTAATCGTTTCAAGTCTTAAATTCCGCAATTATGCAAATTAGGCTTCAAGTTGTAGAACTGCGTGAAAATCCCGAAAATACGATTTTTGAACTATCGGCAGTTTCTTAATTCATTTTACCGTTTTGTAATCGTTTCAAATCGAGTACTCTAGGTATTTTTCTTAATCCGGAAACCGTGCCAAGATTCCACATGTATTCCCACGAACAATTCGTCCCGCACAAATCCTACAACTGCCCAAAGTTTGGGTAACACAACAGATCTCCTGGGCAACCTCTCCATCTGTCCCCCATTTGGGTACCCGGAAAGGAGGCGGGTGTTGCATAGACGGACCGGCTCTGGACCTAGGGTATTCCTAGAATTGCGACATATTTTGATGTTTACCGTCTGCCTGGGATGGCTGGGTATTGTGTATTTATATCTCCCAAGGCTAACCGAAAACATGCGTTGCTCGTTTTTGAAAATCGGCTTTAGCCGTAGAAATTTCCCTTGCAACTTCAATGCGGTTAAATTTTGAAAAGTCCCTTAAAATGTAGAAATGTACCGCTTCAACACATCTCTAAAATATCATCGAAATCGGAAAATGCCTAGCTTTTATTGAATTTCGCAAACCCCTAATGTTTGACTATCAACGGAAATTTTACGTAGAGATTGAGGTTCTCTAATTTGGTATTTTTAATTTTAGCTTTTATACTGGGTGTCCCAAAAAAAGCACCCCCCCTCTAGCGGTCCGTGGTAAGCTCAGATCAGGATGATTTTTATACCATTCGAAAGCCCGCGAAAAGGCGAGAAAACAAGCAGGCTTCATTTCCTAAGATTTATTCTGATTCGTCCGATATTCAGCGTTTTTCTAAAAAACAGGTATCTTTTCAACAGGAATTTCGCAATTAGCATGCCGGTCCTCGCGTAAATCTGCCGTTTTCATGGATTTTGGAGGTAAAATGTGCGAATAAAAATACATAGTAAAGAAAATGAACGCTCCATGTTTTCTCACCTTTTCGAGAGCTTTTGATAGATACCTAAACGGCGTGAATCGGACACGTCTGCGCGCCGCTAGAGGGGGGTGCTTTTTTTTGGGACACCCTGTACTGTAATTTCAAAGCAGTTTCTACTAGTACCTTTTGACGGAGGAAGCCAAATTACTCCAACTCTTGCTCACCCAATTTCCACTCGGTTACTCTGAACAGCCTGGGGGAATTCCACGTCTTTGTCATAGACTACATGCATTCCCACGCCTAATAACACAAAGTACCAAAGCAACCACTGCGTTAGGCTTTACGCGGTCGACAGTTATCGCAATATGTTAGAACTCTTCCTAGATGATTTTTTTTTTTGTTCAAATTGACAGATTTTAGTCATTTCAACTTTTGAAGGTCCTACATTTTCAGGTCATCTCATGAACTCCACCTACTTTTGCACGGTTTGCACGTCAAGTAAAGGAACTTCGTTATACTACGGCGGTCTGGTGTGCGGGTACGGTACTTTCTTCATCCTAAAGACCGTGTTTTCAGGAGCTGTAAGGTCTTTTTCTTACGCACTGTCCGGAAGAAGTACACCTACAAATGTGCAGCCAAGGGTAAATGCAGTATTAAAGGTAACGGAAAGATTCCGAAAGAACTTCTCTCTCTCTCTCTCACTGTCTCTCTCTGTATCTCTCCATTATGCTCTGTCTGTCTCTCTCTCTCTCGTCGACAAAAAGTATAACAAGCTTTTCAGACGGTTTCCTGAAATGCCGAGCATGCCGCTACGAGTTGTGCCTAAAGTCGAACATGGATCCGAGCAGTAGGTTTATTAGCTTTACTTGTCTACATTTGATACCTTTCCAAAGGTATTAGCTATTAAGGTATCCTACCCAAAGCCTTAAAATGTTATGTGCTCTCGAGAGTATTTTTGACCTCACGATTTTCCTATGGTAAGCGTTTACCAAATTATTGCAGTCGTCGGAAGCTCTGGAGCCAGATTTTCGATGAAAGACGAGTTGCCAGATTTGGACCCGATTCAATGCACATCTGATAAAGGTATGGAAAACCTATTTTAACGGCGTAATCTATTGGCTAGATCAAAAACCCCCGATTAAATTTTTTAGCCAGTTCTTCTACCGCCATCGAAACCATTCAAATCGAATGTCCCAAGTAAGTGAATTCATCTTAAAATTTGCAATACTCTTTTGTATACCCCAAAAACATTCTTATCAATTAAATTCCTAGAGCTTTAAATCATACTTCTCGACCTCGACCCCTGCTCAACCGGAAAACCTGGAAATTGGTCGCCTCCAAAGAGATCAACGAGCAAAGGGCGGTGGTTCCGTATCTGAACAAGGGCTTTTTGAGGACTACGGTAACTATAGATTTTTATGCCTTACCCCTTCAAATTCAGGAGCTCCTCTCCAGCTCCTACCTCATCGGCAAGCAGTTCATCGCGGATTTGAGGCAACGTGGCTGTAGCCCAGCTAGTTTAGCTACTAGGTTGTATCAATTGGAAAGGTAGGCGACTAAATTGAGCAATAAAAAAAATAATTTGAGGCAAGATAGCAGAGAGTCATTGCCAGAAAAGTCAGTTTTTGTATGAACTGAAGCCTTCTAAAAACTGCCCAAAATATATGTTTTTTCTGTTTTTATGTATTCTTTGTAATTCTGCTAAAGAACGAACTGTCAGGCTGGCTAGCATGGATTCCTCGAATTCTTGCAGTAGCTGTAAAACCATGATAATTTGTTGGTTCAGAGCCTGCGACTTCCAAGACTCTTTCATGAGCTGTACACCAGTCATAAATTTGGATACTTCATTGTTAGAAGCGATAAGAAATCCTTTGGCCTTATGCGCCAGGACCCCGGTAAGTAATCTAGTAGCTATTCATGTGCTCATTTACAACCTCCGATCCGACCTAGCGCGCCAATCAGCGCTAACAAGGAGACGTTTTTTAGTGTCCAAGGAGTTTTAGAATGGGACCAAGCCTATTTTATGCAGAATTTTTCGCTTATCAAAGCCTACTTTTCAAAATCTGCGAAACAAGCATATTTCAAAAGTTATGAGGCTTCAAAGTGTGAAAATGCCCAAAATGGCCAACTTTTGCCGTTTTTCGGCCTTTACGGCGTCATAACTTTCTTATTTTGGTCGTTTCGCAGATTCTGAAAACGAGGTTTTGAACAGCGCAAAATTCAGCATAAAGTAGGCTTGATCGCCTTTCAAAACTCCGTGGACACTAAAAAACGTATCCTTGTAAGTTACCAAGATTTAAAACTGCCCGGATAACTAAAAATTGTTTTTAGATGGGCTGGACAGACGGCCGACCCGTCGAAGGCGGCATGATTGAGCTGATACCGCTAATTTACACCCGAATCGCGTTACACTACCTCGACTGGGTGGCCTCGCTGTTGGAGCTGATCGAGATGGATGAAAAGGATAGGGTGGGTTGAATTGAAATTAACATCAGAGCTCAAAAATACGCCCACGAGGCTCTGAAAAACCATACAGGAAAATTATAAAAATCGTTTCCCCCGCCTATAAATGGATAAAAATGATAAAATTCCATCATTTCTCGCCCTAACTCTTGGTTGAATAAGAGTTTTTCGCAAAATTTTGGCTTCATGGTATCATTAAAAATCATATTTTTTTTAGTTAGCCCTCGTCAGCGCCCAGCTCTGCCAGCTCCAGTTTTGCACCATTGCCTATAACACTTATCGAGAAGGCAAAGAGGGCATCCTTTTCGGAGCAGGAATTCACTTTATTCCTCCTGAAACGCCACCTACGGATGAGTAAGTTTTTAGTTTTTTAATGGAAACTTAACCTATCTATTATTACTAACCTGTATTTTCCATTCTCAAATCAAAAGTTCAATCTTTAGATTTGACAGCTTTATGGTCCAACTGTCCACCTATCTTCATCAGGAAGTGATATCGTTGTTTAAGGAGATCAAAATCAGGTAGAGCGTTTGGCTGTCTCTCTTTCTCTCCCTCTCTCTCTCAATCTCTCTCCCTTGCCTTCTCTCTCTCTCTCTCTCTCTCTCTCTCTCTCTCTCGTATATTCTCACTTTTAGCCCCGAAGAGTACGCCCTCATGAAAATGATCTGCTTCTTCAGCACTAGTAAGTTTGAGCAGCGAAACAAACCCTTATTAATTGTTTTTAGCCGCCATCCTCACCCAAAAGAGTGTTAATGTGGTCCAAAGAGCACGAGTGAAGTATGAGCAGGTGGAAATTTTAAAAACTGCAAGTGAAAATCTCTTTTTTATAGCTGCTGATGGAATACATAGTGGAAGCATATCCGGACCTGAATCGGGAGGAGCGTCAGATGAGGATGGTGAAGATTGCTAGTGCCAATCGACATTTTTTGGTAAGGGAGAGAGAGAGAGAGAGAGAGAGAGAGAGAGAGAGAGAGAGAGCGATAAAGACAGAGAGATGCAAGCCACAATTTTCAGCAACTCGGCATCCTCGACAACGCCTACATCACCAAGATGTTTTCCTTGAACATGGCCAACTTGCGCAAGCAGTACATTTTTGATATGCACCTAAGAAAATATTAAATGTTGTGTTTATAATAAATTATTGCAATTTACACAGCATTAAGCTTGAAAAGCAGAATTTATCTTAAGCTTTCTCGTCTCTCCCTCTCTCTCCCTTGTCTCTCTCTCTCACTTGCTCGCTCTCTCGCTCGCTCTCTCTCTCTCTCTTTCTCTCTCTCTTTCTCTCTCTCTATATATATCTTTCTCTCTCTCTCTGTCCCCTCAATTAGAATCTTTGAATTTAAATCCCAAAATGTATTTTCGCGTTTCAAACCATTTTCCAAGATGTCGCTCCGCTTACCGGCTCTTCTCCTGCTGACCTGCCATCCCGGTTTTAACCTAGCCGATGAGCCTCCGTCTACCACCCCTCTTCCACCTGATATTTCTCCTGATCCTTCCAACGCTTCAACCCCTGCCCAACACACCCTACCGTCGTCGTACTGCTACCAGTGCATGCAGGGCTGGGCCATCCCACACAGTGGCTCGCGAGGGAGGCGACGTAAGGGGTTGATCATTAGTAGATGTCCAGCATCAAGGGGTTTGTGACGGTGTTGAGAAGTTAAAGAGGTTCAGCACTTTTTGAAGTTACAGACGACCGACAAAAAGTACGCGTAAAAATGCTATAGTTGTCTTTTAGACGAGCCGATTTTTGACTATTGACATGACGGGCATTTCAAGACGTTCAGCTTGCATATAATTAAGCGAAAAGCACAGAAAAAGGAGCTCTGTATGTGGAAATTTCAGTGCCCCTCCTCTCATCCGCGACACCAACGGGACCGTCCTCAAGCTGGGCGGTTGTTGGAATGTTACGGTAGTTATTGGCTTTTTCTTAACGCGTTAAATTAATGATAATGACACCTTGGTTGTATCAGGTTGGTAGATAAGTCCTGTCACAATTTTTTTAAGTCTCTCTATATAGCCGCAGACATGGCCGATTTTAACGTTTGATAGCTGATTTGATAGATCTTGGGCTGCTCTATAATGGGAGCTGCCGCACGAGGCCGAAAAGTTACGGGACGCCGAGTTACAGCACCGGGAAGTTTTTCATAAAATCTTGGAAAAGATTTTTAGCGTGAAATCTCTGCATAGAGAAATTTGCATGCGATACCTTCAACACCAATCGATAGCTCTCGAGGAGTAGATATCGATAGATGTTGAGATCGTCAAAATTGGACACCGGATGGCCGAGATACGGGTCCTTGAAATTTGGTTGATTTCTTAGAAATTTTCCCGAAATCCCATACATTTTACGCATCTGTGACAAATCTTGCCAGTTGGGGTTTGAGCGCCCGGAGAAGGTTTTGTCTAAAAGTATGGGAATTCGGAAAAGTTCTAAGAAATGGTCCAAATTTCAAAGGCCCATATCTCGGCCGTCCAGTGTCCAATTTTGATGATCTCAGCATCTATCGATATCTACTCCTCGAGAGCTATCGATTGGTGTTAATGGTATCGTCTTCAAATGGCTCTATGCAGAGATAACACGCTAAATAGCTTTCTCAGGATTTTATCAAAAACTTCCCGGAGCTATAACTCGACGGCGACCCACTTTGGGGACCAAATCGGGTTTTGCCCAAGTAGCGCGTCCCAAGCTCTATCAAATCATGTATTGAAAGTGAAAATCCGACGTTACTGCGGCTTTCTAGAGCGCTTTCAAAAAATTGTGTCAGGACTTATCTACCAACCTGATAATAAGTGCTCCAGTGATCACTTCCAGGAGGACACGAAAACTTGCTCGGGCGCCAAGTGCATCCACGCGTACTTTGAGGCCGACTGGGAGACGACGGTCGTTGTCAGAAACTGTGCCTCGGAGGATTTTCTGAAGTATCTGCGGGACGAGTGGAAACCGGCACGAGTGACGGAGAAGCTGAAGCAGCCGATGCGTGCGTGTGCATATTTAGCTTACTCTACCTAACAAGGAGTGCTTTTTTGAGTCATCGGCAAAACCTTACGAGACCTGGCTCATTCGATAGAAAATTCGATTCTGAACAAAACCCCGTTGTTCTTTTTTGCAGAATAACTATCCCTGAATTTATAAAATTAAAATACTAGTGACCGTCTCTTACCATGAGTGCCTTTCGAGCCAAAAGAGAGGCTTTTGGATGCCGTTTTAAAATCTCATAAAATCAGGGATAGCCATTCTGCAAAAAAGAACAACGGGGTTTTGTTGTCGAAAACACTTTATATTTGATTACTAGGTCAACCGGGACCACCAGGAAAACAATTGGTTCCCCGCCCGGGAATCCTAAAGAACCCAGAATCGAATTCTCTATCGAATGAGCTAGGTTTCGTAAGGTTTTGCCGATGACTCAAAAAAAGCACTCCTTATAAAAGTCTAAGCCTAAGCTACCTTCTTTTGGCCGCGACACGCAATTTTTGATTGCGTAGGGCATTACGACTGTTAAATCCATGTTAAATCTCTGTTAAATCGGCGTGCGCGTTACGTGCCGCGGCGCGGTGAACCTCCCTTTGGTCTTTGGTTGCGTTAGCTCAAGCGCTACCTTGGTTTGCGAAGCGTGCAAACCGGCCTAGCGACTCGTGCGTTACGTCGCGATGCGCGCCAAAACCGCGAAGCGGCCAAAGTCCACGAAAATCATGGTGATGTCTTAAGCGCTCCTTTAAACGCCATTGATTCACCCCGTGGAGTGAGACACTCAGAGCACACATCTCATCGCTTGCGCCTAGCAGCGTACCCGTTGCGTGTCGCGGCGGCAAACATAAAACGTTGGAATCCATGGCAAAAAACGTATCTTTCTGTCACGCCGGTCCCTTTAATCCAATGCCAGCTGGATTTTCCAGACCGCTGGTGGCTGGAGATGTGCGAGGGTGAGCGCTGCAACAACCTGACCCTCCCCGAAGTCGTCCAGTCGGCCGCCGAGCTGGCGAACGACAGCCGGCGCATCGGCTACTACTTCGTGCTCCCAGTGATCAGCCTCCTAATTCCGCCCCTATTCGCATTTTTCTAGTACTCCATTGCGTTTTTTGTGATTAATTGTCGTGTTCTGATTGTCGGTCTGAAATAAATGATATGTACAATTGATTAAGGCGAGGTAGCAAGATACTAAGGAACTATGGAGCGTATCGTACCTTCGAGGTTCTGGGCTGTTAGCGGGGGTGAACCAAATTTGTCCTGTAATTCTCTACAGCTTAAAATATAAACAGTTTTTATAACATTTTGCATAGTTTTTTGATAGAAAAACATAATTAAAAAATATTGAAAAATTTTGAATGTTCGGCCAAAAATGTATGAAAAATCACCAAAAAAAACCCTCAATTATTGGTTGCCAAATTAACATTTCGCAACCAAATCTCCATCTGGGAACCGGACGCCATCCACAAAATCCCTGTGATTCCAAGCATATAGAGATTCCACCGCTCCCAGCATTATTTCATCAGCAACGATGGCTCGCGTTCCGGTTCTTCTTCTGCTCACCTGCCTGCTCGGCTTCTACCTGATCGACCTGGGCCACGCCGACTGCTACAATTGCATGCAGGGCGACCTGGAAACCCTTGGCGACGACGTGGAGAAGTCTGGGAGATTTTTTGGATTTTCTTATATTATACAAATTACTTAATTTAGTATTACGCAAAAATTGTAGGCTTGTATTTTATCGAACTCCTGAATACGTCATTGGAAGGAAAGGGGACGATTTCCCCGGGGTACCGCGTTTTCTATTGGTGGAAGATCGTCAAATTTTCCCTGTGACTCCCTACGGCCCTGGAATAAAATATAAACTTTTTTAATAGCATTTTACATAGTTTTTAGGGTAAGAGTCTAGAAAACCCCCCCCAGCCGGCACCAACTTTTGTATCTCGGCCGCCTTTTGTGCTAGCGAGCTCTAAAATATACCAAAATGTTCGCCGTAGGCTAATTAGTATAACTACATTGCAGTTCAGTCGAAAAAAGTAGCGAAAAATAAAAATAAGGAAGGTAGAAAAGTTGAAAAGTCGGCTGGGGGTGGTTTCCTAGACTTGAGCCTTTAGATATATAAAGCTAGAAAAATTAAAAACATTTTCGAAAATTTTAACTTTCTGCAGAAATGTTGAAAAATAACCAAAAAGGGTCAAATTTCCGAATTTTCGAAATTTGTAAAATCTTTTGTATAACTTTCTAGCAATCAAAAACTACTAAAACTTTCAAAATACAATATTTTACCAACAGGTGCAACAACGGAAATTGGTTTTTTCCTTGCTAACCCCCCCCCCGCTAACGGTCAGAACCAAGTAGCATATGCAAAAAATCATTCCCTTCCGGGCGCAATCTTGAACTTCTCGGTTCAGGGCCATCTGGCTGGCGATCCTCGATGGCGTCGAGGTCTCTACAGGGTGTCCCAAAAAAAAAGACCCCCCCAAAAATTTGAGCCAGAGGGCACCTACGGAGCTGAAAATTTGCACAGAGGTAGCGAAGCCAATTTCCCATGTATATGGAAAGTTTGAGCCATATCGACCGACGGGTTTTAAAGTTATAGCGAAAATATTTTTCATTTTTAATTTAATATGGGGATTTTTGCAATTTGCATCAAAAATATGCGTTATTCTTGAATTTACGAGCCGATTTTGCATAAATTTTGCCAAAAAATTCCATTCTCTTGCTGGAGCATGGCGCGAACGATTGCGTATGAAGAGTACAAAGAGTGTGAAAACAACTGTTTTATCGATCAAAACCACGCCTTATTGTGCATTTTGGCAATCGGCTTCGCGCTAGCCCCGAGACAGACTTCGATGAGCTTCTAAGTGGTGCTTAAGTTTAGATTTGGGCTTGGGTTTAAGTCAGTCCAAAGTCTAAGCGAAGTTCAGGCGCTGAACGATAGTTTCAACCAATGTATCTTGTACTCAGCGGTCTTGCTGATCGTTTTCACGCTGCATGAGCAATCGTTTTCCAAAGACTCCAGCAAGAAAATGGCATTTTTTTGACAAAATTTATGCAAAATCGGCTCGTAAATTCAAGAATAACGCATATTTTTGATGCAAATTGCAAAAATCCCCATATTAAATTAAAAATGAAAAGTATTTTCGCTATAACTTTAAAACCCGTCGGCCGATATGGCTCAAACTTTCCATATACATGGGAAATTGGCTTCGCTACCTCTGTGCAAATTTTCAGCTCCGTAGGTGCCCTCTGGCTCAAATTTTTGGGGGGGTCTTTTTTTTTGGGACACCCTGTAGTGATTGCGAGAACGTGAAGGTGAATTCTTCGCCCCAGTCGCAACACGACGTGTTCACGTTGTTCAGGATTCGACAAAGAAGTGCACGGGGACGAACAAGTGCTCCCACGCTCACCTGGAGAAGAAGAATGAGCAAGCGATCATCAAGCAGTTGGAGATCCGCACCTGCGCCACGGGATTTTTGCTGACGAACTGGACGACGGGCTACCAACGCAAGGAGATCCCTGGAAGTAAGTTTCGCTAAACTCCCGATACCCCCCCAGCCGACACCCTACCGGCCGTATCTCGCTTCCCTGTTCATCTACCGGTGTGTAAAGTATACCAAAATACTCGCCAGAGTAAGACGAACATTTTGTTATACTTCACACATCTGTAGATGAACAGGAAGAAAAAGTTACCAAGATACAAAAGTTGGATGGGGTATCTGGAGTCTTAAGTTTCGTTTTGGTCAGCGAACACAGGGGTGGATCGGAAGAAATACGGCATTTGGAATTTTTGAGCTGACTCATTTAGGTCACCTCACTGTGACGGAGCAAGCATGCGAGGGTGATCTGTGCAACAAGCTGCCGATGACCGAAATGAAGCAGCGCGCTGAAGAAGCGGCCAAGAAGCAATCGTCGACGGCCTCGTACCTCGTGCTCCCCGTCGTCACCTTCTTCGCCTCCAATATCCTTGCCTTCTTCTGATTTGCCTTTGTGATGTGAATAAATTTGGTGGGCGCGCCGGAAACGCTAGTTTTTGTGGCAAAACATGGGTTTTGGGACATCATTAGTACAGCGTGGTACTTCCGTACTTCCTCTAATATAACCCCGGGGTTCTATTTTTTTAGTCCCCTCACTAGGAGCTTCTTTCCGCTCAGCTTCGCCCGAAGCCTCGTTTTGGCGTTCTGCAGGGCGTGGACAACTTTTTATCATAGTTTCTGCACAGAAGCTGCAAGCCGGAAATTCGAGGCCGGGCGGAGACCACTCCCCTAGTCATGGGAGGAAATTGCATTAGAGGGAGGGAGCCATTTTTCGTGATTTTGAGCAATCGCAACGATTTTTAGCAGTTCAAACGGCTCACAATCACTCGGAAACACCTTGTAGAATGGGATCCCTTGAGGAAATCCGATGCAACGGTTGCTTACATCAGGTATTGATGGCCAAATTAACATTTTAAAACTGATTTCAATCCGTCACCGTCAATCCGTCGGAATTCCATATGAATCTTGGTAGAGAAATATTGCGCCGCCGCCAGGCATTGTTTCACCAAAAACGATGGCTCGCGTTCCGGCTCTTCTTCTGCTCGCCTGCCTGCTTGGATTCTACCTGATCAACGTGGCCCGCGCCGACTGCTACCGGTGCGTAGATGGCGACCTTGGGCCCCTTTTCGCTATCGCCATCAAGTAAGTAACTGGGATAATGGGATAATGGATAATACTGGGATACCGCGCCGCGCTCTAGCCAAGGGTGTAACGGTCACAGGAATCCATGTGGTATACACGCATAATGCGCATTTGTGGATTTTCATAACGCCGATTTTCATACTGCCGATTTTACATTATACCGGTTCTCCAGGGGGATATGCTTAGCGGAAACTTCCATCTTCTTGCTATTTTCTCGGGATTTTTGCAACGCCGTTCGATAAAGCGTCGAAAAATATACTAAGCGTCTAAGAGTCGTTTTGGTTAAAAATATTGTAATATAAAAAAGTTATAGCAAAAACAAAAAAAAATGAAACTAGTGCCGAGATGTTATTTTTCGGCATTTTCGCAAGTTTTTCGATAGTTTGAACCCGTCATTCGATAGAGCATCAAAAACATATCCGCAGAGTTTGAAATTCATCTAAAAATATTTTTTTATAAAATAGTTATAGCAAAAACAAAGTTTACACGCTGTTTCCACATGGGGCCGTGGAGTCAAAAGCTAGTTTACGACATTTTTTATATCTTTCACAAATTCCTTGAATGCCATTCGATAGAGCGTTAAAAAATAAATTAAGAGTTTTAATTACAACTCAAAATAGCATCATATAAAGAGTTATAACAAAACGAAGAAAATTTCCCCACCCCCCTCCCCCTTCGCACAGTTTCCCCCCTCCCCCCGCGAAATAGAACAGTATGCCCTAGTTTTTCGCAATCGATTCCAGGTCGTTCTAATGAAGCTTCTAGCTTTATTTGTTATACAAAATTCTAACAGAATTTCCATGAAAATATTTTCCCCTGACAGGTATCGAAGACTGACTGTTTGATTGATGGTTTTTGATTCAGGGTAATTGCCTAGGACAAGCGGCGTTTTCCTATTTTCAAAGGTATTTTCTCTGCGTTAATATTAACCTTTCCGGAAAATTTGGAATTCAAACACTAGGATTTATCGGGAGGACAATTGTTTAACACCCCGCAAAATACGCCAAATTGTCATTATGAAAATCGGCATTATGAAAAATCGGCATTATGAAGATCGGCATTATGTAAAATTGGCATTATGAAATAGTCGGCATTATGAAAATCGGCATTATGTAGGTAATTCATCCATACCAATGATTTCAGCCCCGACTACAACTACCTCGACGGCGCTTACATCCAGTCGCACAAGAATTGCACCACGGTTGAGGTGCGGCTTTTTCTATTGGTTCACTTTTTTCTGGCAGTCGCGATCGTTAGCTTACATGATAGTTATACTATTAAGGCTAGGCCAGAGTCACTCCAGAAACAACAGTTTGTAGTACGATATGATAACCCTACTATATATATAAAAAATAGTGTCTGTGTGTGTTTGTGTGTGTGTGTGTGTCAGTTTGCATCCACTTCCGTCCGTCTGTCCGGAGGATATCTCAAGAAGGGACGGGTATTAGGCTCCGTATGATACGTCATTAGGTGCGCAATGGTCTAGGGATGACTGCACACATATCAGATTTTTAAAAATTAGCCATTTTCGCTATTAAATTTAGGTTTTTGTAAAAACCTCTTTCTCGTCGCGTTCCTTTCATTGTCGCGTCGTCGCGCCTCTCTCTCCCGAGGCCGTCGGTTGAAAAGTCGCGAAGCGGCTTTTCAACCCTGGTAATGAACCTAAAAACGGGTATATGTCGGTTATGCGGGGGGGGGGGGACAATTTTACGCGGAGGGGGGGACGGGACAGGCAGGCCTTTTTGGATGTTTTCGTTATTTTCTCGGAATTTTTTCAACGGCATTCGATAGAGCATCGGAAAATATACGAAAAGTTTTTGTTTTGGCTCAAATCAGTGTGTTAAAGAAAGTTATGGCAAAATAGAACAATAAGCTTTGAAAATCGGATTGAGCGGCTGTTTTTCCGAAATTTTACAGATGCCATTCGATAGAGCATCTAAAAATATACTAAGAGTTTTAATTTTAATTGAAAATAATGTAATATAAAATAGTTATGACAAAAACAAGTATTAAACGTTGTTTCCATGGAGGACATAGAAGGAAAGCAAGTTTTCGATATTGCGACATTTTTACAAAAAGGTCTTTAGTTGCCATTGGACAGAGCGCCGAAAAATATACTAACAGTACCCCCCGGCTTAGCCGATATATACCTGCAAACGGCGTCTTAATCACCAAGAGTTTTTACAGGAAATCACAGAAAAGTCGCCGGGCGACAAGTGCATCCAGGCGTACTTTATTGGCAAAGAACGCGGCGAATACAAGCACGCCATCTTGCGAAACACTGCGTCCAACGCGTTTCTGGCGAAGGGCTGGAAGGTGGGCAGCGAGGTGAAGCCGGCCGAGGCCCCAATGAGTAAGTTTGGAGGCTTTTGTCTTGGATTCGACTCGAAAAAATAGCAAAAATTGAAATATAGAAAATACCGGCACGCCCACCCGTGTCCTCGAACGCGCCCACGTTGTTCACTATTCCCCTAAATCAAAAATAATCCCTTTGTTAACCCGAAAGCCAAAAATCATTTCTTTTTTATTTCCCCGCCTATACCTGGCTTTAGATAAAAGCTAAAGCGTTTTTATGATGTTTTTAGTGGTTTTTGATTGGTAGAAAGTTCGAAAAAAATCTAAATTTTTTTGAAAAATCGGCATTTTGACATTTATGGCCATTTTTATTCATTTTTGACCAAAAAGACAAAAATTTATGAAACTTCTTCAAATTTTTACTAATGTTTTTATATCTAAAAACTTTGTAAAATGTTATAAAAATGGTTTATAGATTGTTAAAGGCCCGTGCGGAATTATTGTGGAAAAATTGGTGTCGCCCGTGTTAAAACCCCCCCCCCGTTAACACGAATGAACCCCAATAATTTCATTTTTCTTTCAGTTCGCTACGTGGTGGATTCGTGCGAGGGGCATCTGTGCAACAAGATGCCCATGGAGGAGTTGGAGCAGCTGGCGAAGAGCACCAACCGCATCGGCTACACCATGATCGTGTTCCCCGTCGTCGCCTGCCTCATCACCCGCATTGTCTAGTTGTATAGGGTATTTTGTGCTTTGTATTTGTTGCTCACCGGCTGTCGATTGTATGTCGTTCCGCAATAAAAGGGTCTCGACACACTACACCAGACAATTTGTAAACTCAACCTCGGCAACTTTAAAATATACCAGCGCCGACCCCCCCGCATCCCACAATTTGAATGTTGAATTTGCATGCAAAATTTGGCTGAATTCCCGGTCGCACGGACGGACGGACATTAGAAATTTACCAGGGTTGAAAAGCCGCTTCGCGATTCTGACCCCATTTTATCCTAAACCTTTGCATAATTACCGTGCATTCTGATGACAAAATGAAAAACAACCTCTTCTGACCGTTTATATAGTCGAATCCCCACTTCCGGTCTATGCTAATTTTTCTAACAAACAAGTTTTCACCAAAAACCTAAATTTAATGTCGAAACCAGGGTTGAAAAGCCGCTTCGCGACAACACAACCCCTGGCATCGTAGAGCCCATGAAATTCTTCACTTTGCATAATAGACCCGAACTGCGATTAAAAATAATGAAAAACGCTCCCTTCTCCCCGTTATATAGGCTCCCGCAACTTCCGGTGTATGCTAATTTTTTCCTAACAAAGAGGGTGACGGAGTTTTTAAGAAAAACTTAATTCTAATGTCGCAACCAATCATTTTGGAAAGTCTGATATGCGTGCAGTCATCTATAGACCATTACGCGTCTATGGCGTATCAGACACCTCCTTCCACCCCCCTCCCCTCGTAAGATATCCTCCGAACGCTGACGGAAGTTGCATGCAAAGGGCACACACACACACAGACACTATTTTTTTTATATATAGTAGGAATAGGTGATTTTGCAAAATTTTATATATGTGCAGTCATCTCAAGACAATCGCGCACCTAATGACGTATCATACGTACCTTAAAATCCTTCCCCTATCGAGATATCCCCCCAGACAGACAGACGGAAGCGGATAAAAAGTAGTACACACACACAAACACTATTTTTTTATTATATAGTAGGGTATATAGTGGATTTTGGTTTGGTAAGCGACTCGTCGATAATCACCACTTTTCTCCCGACATCTTACCATCATTAAATTACATTCATTGAGCCGAAACAGTGTTTGTTGTGCTCATTCGGAAGGCGGGAGCAAAAACTGACTGCAGAGTGGAGGGAATCAGCGCAAAAAGCGGGCTGATGAACTGTCTTTCGATGCAGAGTCACACTTCCACTGCGCAACCTTTTTTGGTCAGTTCGATCTGAGGATGGATCCCGAAAATGACTAGCGTAAGGGTTTTGGGCTCTGTGTGCGCACTTCTAGAAATTCCGATTCGGGCTAAAACAGTAAAAAAAGTAACTCATTAGCGGCCAAGGACGATATTTCTTCTACCCCCCCCCCCCCCCCAAAAAAAAACCCCCCCCCAAAAACCCCAAAAAAACCCCCTTTTCACAATTTCCCCCCTTTCCCCTATTTTCAAAATTTCTCCCAAAAAGGCCCCTAAAAAAAAAATTTCCCAAAAACCACACCTACACCCCCCAACTTCTTAAAAAAAAACCCCCCCAAAAATATATAAAGTTAATTTTCCAAAAAACCCCCCACCCCAACACCCCTCTTTCCCTCTTTCCCGCCCCCAAAGGGACACGATCAGGCCGTTAGGAAAGGGGCAGGGAACACCGATCATAAAGGGGGTCGCCTGCTGATTAAAATAAAAAAAAAGTCTGAAAACACATTTCCGGCGGCGGGGCTTTAAATTACCCCACGTTCCGAATTTTTGTGCGTGCGGCGCTGTTAGTTAAGCCATTTCTAATCTTTCGACTGCGGCGCCCGTTTTGAAAGCGATGCGAATGGAGAAGGTCGCCAACAATTTTTAGAGCGCCCCTCTGAAAGTGCCCCCGGGCCCCGTAGGCGTGCTCAGCTCTGATGACTGCGGGAAGTTATTCTCTTGTCGAGGGCATAGCAGATCATTGGCGCGCGGCGAGAGTCTGCTGGCCCCTTTACATTCCTTTACATTTAAATTCCTTGGAGGCCAAAATTCGTGCGTTGCGAGAAAGCGTAAAATATGTGAGTAAAATTCTAAAGTTCTCGAGCCGAAAACGACTTTTAAGGCAGCGATTACATGTCATAATACCTTATAAGGCACGCAACCTCTCGATCTCGGTGATTCTCAAAGCATTTTTCATAATTAAAACGTCTAGAATGCTCAAAATCCGGTGAGGATCGCATCTGGCAGTTTACCAGGAATCAACGTAGGGGCCTCCGGCCTCTAGTCAAACGCTTCAGCCGCCATCACCACAGAGTTCTACTAATCTCGTAAGGAATTAAGATCCAAAAATACCGCCACAACAATCCGCAATTTAGCGGCCAAGCGCCGAATACTCCTATCGACACCAAAAATGCATGCTCTTCTTTCACTTCAAAGGACTTTTCAAATGCTGTATGTCGCGGTGCATATATAGCGAAGACGTGCCTGACGTGCTGTGACCCCCACGATGGCGTTTCGCCGATTTATTCACACCAACACAAATCAATTCAGAAGAAAGCTGGCATATTGGCGACGAGGAAGGCGATGACGGGGAACATGGCGGAGATGGACGGGCCACTCGACTTCTTGGCGTCCTTGTCGTCCTTGGCGTCCTCGGCCTTCATCTCGACGGCAATCTTCTTCAGCTCGTCAACCGACAGCTTGTTGCAGCGATCACCCTCGCAGGCTTGAGCCCAGGCGGCTAAAACAAGCTAGTTTGGTTCTGGACTGTTAGCGGGGGGGGTCGAGCATGGGGCCCTGTCTCCTGCCACCCACCTCTTGATGTTATACTAATAATGTTTTTGGTAGTTTTTATTTTAGTAGTTATTGCCATAAAGTTATTAAAAATAATTTTGAAGTTTGAAAATTCGAAAATCTGGCTTTTTGGGGAATTTGCTTACATTTTCGACCTACAAGTCGGAAATGTTCGAAAATTTCCTATTATTTGGCTTATAGGGCCATAGAGAAACAGAGCCAAAAATTTCCAACTAAAAAATTCAAAGCGTCTAGTAACTTTGCTACCTCCTTTCTTCCCCGCTCCAGCCTCCCATTTTTCCAAGGCTTTTGGCGTGGCACAGTTCCGAAGGTGCACCGTTGGCTGCGCGTCAACAACCATGTGGATGCACTTATTGCCCGGGCACGTCGGCGTCGTCCCCTGAAATTAAATAGTCGTACTGCTGTTGCCACGTGTGTACCTCGGTGATGGAGGCGCAGGGCTTGGGGTCTGTGATGCCAGCGGTATAGTCGGTGAGCCTGAAATGGGATGGGTTTAGTGGTCAAACTTCTGACGGGCCAAAACGCGTCTCGGTTCTGGTTGGTTAGCGGGGGCGGGTTGATGTGAGTTTAAAAGCCGCGACGCGGCTTTCAACTTGGGTAAATGACTAAAACAACCTACACAGCGGCCTCTCCGGAGGATAGTCCCTCGGCGCACTGGTAGCAGTCGGCGGCCACGGTGTTGGTGTAGAATCCGAGCAGGCAGGTGAGCAGAAGAAGAACCGGAACACGTCCTGACATCTTGAAGGAATGATGGAGAGATATTTGAAGAAATGGGTGTCTGCTTTTATACATGGCTTTTCGGATGCAAATATGCAGCACTTTCCGGTGAAGCGCCTCCAAGATGGAAATTTTATATGCTGAAATCGTTGGGTGGCTTCGGACTTTCGAATTTGCATAAAAAATTCGACTTTTCCGTAATTCAGGGCGTTCGGAACCGACGCCCGCGTGCAGCTGGCAAGAATTTGGATTGTTTTGCTGCGCTCGCCACTCAATTTCGTGCGCGGCTATGCTCCTGCTCCTCTCGTCACCTAGCGATCGTTACGTTGCGCAGTAGATAGCGATCCATTAGGTTCTGAGTGCCACTCATACCCCGTTAAGCTTTTTTCAGCCGTAACTTGTGACAACGTGAAATGCGGTGCGCGGCAAAAGTGTGAGATAAGGAAATTTTGAATACAGCTTTCAACGTACAACTTCTCCTAAAATTTTATTCCAGGCATTACGAAACCTAAAATGTTTTGTTTAGGTTGCCAGTCCCTGGAAGGAAAATGATGTATCTCGATCCAGTCCTATTTTATGTAATTTAATCTTTTTATCTTCGTGTATGTGTGTGGATATCAGTTTGGTTAGGAGGATTTTGAGGAAATGCCAGTGGATCGAAAAATCTTATTCTCGATCGCCCAGGGAAATCTGGGACGCTAATCTTTCCGATGGCGTTTTCAGAATTTCGAGGCTCAAGTCTAGGAAACCCCCCCCAGCCGTAACTTTTCAACCATACGTCCTATTAATGCGCCGAGTATCTCAAAATGTTCGCCGTGGTCGAATTACTTTAGAAAAGTTGTTTTCTTACATCAAAAATTGTTAGAACAATTTTTACAAGATTTTGAAAGTTGAAAAGATTAAGCCGCTATGCTTCGATGTATCAGGAGCCTAAAACGCAAATATTTTTATTTTCCGCTATTTTTTTCGACTCGAATGTGCTATAGCCTTATTCTACAGAGCAAGAGCTACATTTTGGTACCATTGACAGCTCTGTACGTCAAAAGATAGCCGAGATACGAAAACTCACTTTGGAACAGCAAAAATTAACTAAAGAAAACCCAGACTTATAATTGTTATAAAAATTGTTCTAACAATTTTTTGATGTAGAAAAACAGCTTTTTTGTAGTAATCCGACCCGGCGAACATTTTGAGATACTCGGCGCATTAATAGGACGTATGGCTGAAAAGTTACGGCTGGGGGGAGTTTCCTAGACTCTTACCATTTCGATAAAATACAAGATTACAAAGTTAAGGCCGGTTTTATTCATTTTTGGGGGTCCCTGAGGGTTAATTTGCATAACGCGAGAAAATCCAAATTTCCTCATTCTTGCCAGTTGCACTCGCGCGTTTGGCTGCCTCATTGGATTTCCCTGTCATTGTCTTTGCTCCCCTTTCCCGGTAATCACCTCGGGGGATACAAGGGCTGTTGCGCGCGCGCTCCCAAGCGTTTCATGGT